ACCCTGGGCACTATGTGTATAAGCGGGACTTTCAGCCCCGCTTATACCTAACTGCCCAGGATATAACTATTACTAAGCAACCATAATAAGACAAAGCAAAGATATACATTTTCTTTTATGAATTATATCATACTGAATAATCACTTGTATTTATTACTACAGATAAAAAAGTAAAAGTGACTCTTGATATAAGAATGGTAATTAAAATTTCGATGTAAGCTCAAAACAATCCATTCGATAAAGCTACAGTAATAAAATTTCCGCATAAAGAAACATTATATGTAATAAATAAAACGCACCACTTTATAAGATTTAAATTGTCTACAATTTCTAAACATTTCTAAAACGTGGAACTCAAATCTTCTGATTTGATTTCAATTAAGAATAATTACTAGCTAATTATTTTATATGCATTCTAAAAATAGTTTAATGATATGACAATAATAAAAATAAATTATAAAATTATGTGTAGAAATATACAAGTGATCAATTTAATATTAATACTTTCTATTTTTATCAATAAATTTAATCCTTATTCTTTTCAAAATAATCCAGCATAAATTTAGCAGGACATGTATAAGAGGCGCAATGAAGAACAAAATCAGATTTTTGCCAAATATCAGGAAATGTATTAAATATGTGATCATCACGAAGCAACAATGTCTGTTGATTAAAGAATAATAATAAAATTATTATTATTAGCAAGATTAATAAATTTATATTAATAAATAACAATAATAAATCAAACATACATGATCCCTCAAAGTAGGATATTTCTTTAAGAGTTTCCACATAGATGCTTGTTCAGTCTTTTTATCATTGTGTATATCTTTTATTGTTTGTACTCTTTTTAAAAATTCAAAACTCCAATCTGAATTTCTAATTAAAAACACACCAGCATTAAGCATAGTATCTTTTTTAGGTCTGGACACTATAAAATGTATTTTTTTGTCAAATATTTTCTGTCCAATTTCAGATCTTTTTAACTCCTCAAAACCTTCATCATCTTCTTCATCAGCATAATCATAATCATCATCATCATCATCGACTACATCAGGACTTTCATATTCTTCATCTTCTTCATAAATAATTTCAGTATCATCATCTTCATCATAACCTAAATCATCATCATCACCATAATACGCTTCTTTATCATAATTTGTATCATCAAATGGGTCATCATCATAATCTAATGGACCACCTTCGTCATAATAGTATTCTTCATCATTTCTCTTATTAAGAGTATTGCTCACTTTTTCAATCGTACGGTTGTTTGCATTAGTTTTACTGGCCTTATGCTTTTTCTTTTTTTTAGATATCTCAAGTTGATAAAATCGATTAAATAAACCTTGAATAGAAATTTCATGATTTGTAATAATTGCATCATTATCAATCCAAAGCACCCATTCATAATGAGGTAAAACCTTTTTCACAGCTTCAATCCTTCCCCGACTTTTCAATTTGCGATTATAAGATTGATAAGGTTGAAACTCCAAGGATCTTGAAACAAATGCATATCCATGTCTTTGAGCATACTTTCGTTTGTTTTCTGACGTCATATAGGCTACATCTAGCATTGGTGGTGTGCAATTACTAAAACGGTCATGGAAATAAGAACTTGTTACTATAGCTATTGATGATGGAATATGATGATGACAAGCCGATACCGGTGAAATTAATAGATATTTTGAAACTGATGAGAGTTCATGCTTTGAGTATAGTTTTCTAACCGCTATTGTAGAATTTTGAGGAATATAATCTAAGCTATTAGGAAATATGATAAAACTTTTATTGTCATTAACAAAAAATAAGTCATTCCAGTTATTTGAAAGAGATTGACGTTCATTTTTATTATAAAAATAGGCTTGAGTCGCTATGTTTCGGTTATCAGTGTTATAAAAAAGATCTTTGTTGGCTAGGATCGTGGAAATAGCTTTACTACCAAGAATTACAAACATATCATCAACGGATGAATCATCAAAGTTACTCCATACGATGTTTTGAAGCTTAGTTGGAGAGTAATTAGAAGAAACAAGGACCGTTTTAAGTTTTGCGAGACTTATTATGGAATAATCATCAAGAAGTACAGCGTGATCAAACGATATGTTTGAATTTTTTAACGATTGAGTCTACACATAATTAATGGAAGTTGAATTAATTACAAATAAAAGAATTTAAATAAGTGAAATATAAAGAGTATACGTATTTTAATTTATTTACCCAATCAAGAATAGTTTCTTGAGTATAATTCGAATGTAACAAATGTTGAAATTCAACAATATCATTATACTCCACGCTTTCGCTCACAAAACTTCTGTATGTTTTTTTATTAACGTTATATGGAGGAATCAAAAACTTGTAATAAATACTCGTGTCATATTTCATACAAGGTACTAAATTATCTTCGATGCCAAATAAGATCCTTCGTAATAGTCTACGATGATGATATTCTTCTATTTTAGATGTAATTAGGATCAGAAGCTTATAATGCCCTGATGTATTTATATCATCTTCACTATCTACATAATTGTCGTCACCGCTAAATAAGTCGTTGATAAAATTATAATTCTCAGCAGGATTAGATAGAGAATAATCGCTGGTTCTATAATACGATAAAAATGTTATTATAAATGTCATTATTAAGATTGCTATGTACATAAGCTTATTTCTTTGAAACATCGTGTCAGTCTTCATATTTTTAATCACACGCAATATTTTAAAAATTATCAGTTATTATCTTGGATGAATATGTTTAATGATAGTTAGCAGTAAATGTTAAATGTTGGTGAAAGAACTAATGGTCTGACCGATAAAATGATCAATTAAATAAACATTTCATCGGTGTTGCTCTTTTTTTTATTTCTTTTCTTGTACAGTAGTTTCAGTTACGTGTTACAAACATTTAAATTGTTATTTACGTCTTGTAATTAATTCATGGATTCTGTGGATAGTTATGTTACACATAACAATACTAACTTTGCTTACACTCACCATCATTTCTGTCATTTATGAATTCTTTATGTATAGTAACGGAAGTTTAATTAAGTTACCAAGCATTCGTATCAGTGTTAACTATAATTATTTTATGTATGTGCGCTTGGACAGTATTAATCATCAAGAAACTGCAAAGCCTTGACTTACGAAGCACGAAGGATGATTAACAGTTAATCTTAATTACTATTCATTGGTGCTATTTGTTTGTTAAACAAATAATGTGAGTAAACAGGTAATTTAATGCGTTACCGAACATTATTTAAATGTAATATTTCATTAACCTTAAAAACAGAAACAATAATATCAGATATATTGTATCAGCCTCAAAAACAAACTAAACTGCATGAATTACTAATAAGCATTCATCTTAAAGCTTAGAATAGTCTTTCTTATTATAAATAGCCCTAAAATTAAAAATGATTAGCTGCCGGGAGGTAGTTGTAGATTTTATATTCGAAACTCCTAATGTAGGAGTTTACTTTTTTTAAATGAAATAATTATTGCTTTTAATCTCAGGTTCAAGCTTTGAAAGGAAAGAAAAAAACTCAATTATAATAAACTTGATTCAAAAAATATATACCATTATTGAGGTTACTCTTCATTTTTAAAGTACAGTAGATTCTCGCAATAATCACATGCTAAAATCAGATCAGATGATTTATGTGCTTATTGTGAGATTGTGACTAATACAGGTAAAAATTTAATATATAATATATATATTGTAAAAACAAAAAATTAAGGTGATAATAGCGAGATTGTGACTATTTCGAATGTGACTATTGCGAGAATCTACTGTAGTGTGTAGTACATTATAGTAAACCAAATATAGCAACACCATTAAATATACTTGAGAATTTATGTTTCGATTTAAAGAGTTCCAAAGTTTCTTCTGTGGCTACCATGTGTAATAAAAAAGGCTAAATTATTTCATAAATTTGAATAAATTTCTACATTCGTGAAAATTAGTATCTTTTTAATACCTAATGAAATATTATAATTACCAATATCGCATAAAGACAATCACCGTGTACAGGAACCCGAAAGTATCATTATATCTTTCATAAGCTACGCAAAGATTTTCACCAATTTGATTGGTAATTAAATTAGTTCATCAAATCAATGAGGTTAGATAGCTTGTTTAAAGTTTTAAAATTTAAAATCTACCAAATATAAAGATTTTTTTTTTTTTTTAGTATTAAGATGACCTCTTAGGTTAGTAAACTTTATTATAGTTTTCACTAATGGGTTTTGCTGAGTAAAATACAACTTAGCTATTATTTATTTAAGAGTCTTGTTCCCTATAAGTAGGATGTCTGGCATGGTGGCATGCACTGGCATGCCAAAAACAAATTTGGCATGCCACTGAGTATAGTATAAAAATTATATTTATAATATTCAGACCATATATATATAGTATTATAAATACAGAAATAATATATAACATTTTATGGCATGCCAAATTTTTTTGGCGTGCCAGACACCCTACCTATAAGAGAAGTGGCATGGGAAAACAGTGTAAATGCACGGTCTGTTTGAAACGGATTAGTGGTTTGTATTGTATTTGTGTCAATTAGCACGTGAATCTACGCATTTTGGACGTGCCTTTTTATTAGACAGGAAGATGGCCCTGGAATGAAACAGGTAATTAATCGTAAACTCACCAACTTCTTTCGAAGCAATCAATTTTTTTTTTTTTTAAAAAAAAAAAAAAGTAATACAGTATCTCAAAATCTCGCTAATGAAACTGCACTGGGTGTTATAACAAAAACATTCCTTGCAAAATTTACTACATGTGCAGCTATTTTTAATTGCCTAGATGTTTATTCATGTCCTACGATCGAATTTTCTCCTATCTTCTGTGCCAATTGGCTTAGTAAACTGCTGCAAAAGGCACGTTCAAAATACGTAGTTTCACGTGCCAATTGACAGTGTATACAGACTAATACAGACCACTAATTCCGTGCTAACCTAGACCACGCACATGCAAATCTAGACCGCTAACCTGTGTCAAACAGACCGAGTATTTACACTGTTTCCCGTGCCATTTTTCTTATAGGGTACGTTTTATGACACACTAAAACTGTTTTATGTACTCTTTAATTGTCTTAACTAAGCTACGTAAATAATCATTAGCAACCTAAATTCTAAGCCCTAAAGCATATTTAGCTGTATAATAAGCACACCCTTTTCAAATATACACAATTACCATTGGTTCAAGTTTCTAAAGTTTAAGATGCTACTATGAAGTTTGGAGCTTGTATTAAAAGTTGATATTCCAACTCTGTTGAACAAAAAGAAAAATAAATCTTACAATTTTGGAATTTTTTTTTTTAAAAAAAATAGAAACATGTTACACCGTATAGTAAAATATGACGATGAGATTTGCATAAAATTTATCTACATCTTCAGATTTTATACCATTTTTTTAATATCAACATGTCAGATATGGAATTGTTGCAATTAGCACCTGTTACGAATATGGAATTGAAATTGGGAAAATTGAACATTTATTATCAAAAATCTGCTGAATTAGAAATGCTAGGGGAGCATATAATGTTGGAAGTTGTTATAAGCATAGAAAATTTGTTATCAAAAATCTGCTGAGATGGGTAATGCTAAAGGAATTAATGGTTGATATTGTTATGTTGATGGAATTGGAGTTGAAAAGGATTAACATAAAGCATTTATTTATTATCAAAAAGCAGGAACATTTAATCTTGGACACTTTTTATCGAAATGGAAATGTAGTTGAAAAGGCATCCATTTATTATCAAAAATCAGCAGAAATGGAATTGGAAAAACGAGACTACCAAAGGCTAATGAGTATGTCGTAAGTGGAAACAGAATTTAAGTTGATTCGGAATTTTTAAGGTTAAGTTGGAATTTTTAGTATAACTACAGAACTAGGAAAACGGGATCCGTTGGATTCCGGAGCGCCGCTTCGTATTAGCAAACAAACTATCAAAATTGCTTCGTAAACCTACTAATTTAAAATATGTTAGTGAAAATGTACAGTAGATTCTCGCAATAATCACGTGCTAAAATCAGATGATTTATGTGCTTATTGTGTGATTGTGACTAATACAGGTAAAAATTTAATATATAATATATTGTAAAAACAAAAAATTAAGGTGATTATAGCGAGATTGTGACT